TCACTATTTCTGAGACAATATTTTTGAAAAAAAGCATTTTTTAATTTTGTCGTTATAAATTGTCTTTTTCTTTTTTTTTTTATGACAAAATGTGTACATATTTGAAATACTTAAATTAATATCTACATAATAATTTATATTCATTAGTACATACTTAAATTTAATTTGTTTATTACAATGCGTGTTTATGTATTTTTATTCTTCGAATTTTCGCATTATTCAGCTAGTGGACTCAAATACTTTGATTTAGTAGTTTTTTAGTGAATCAAATAAGCGGTGACTACTGTGTATAAAAATATGTAACAATATTATCTACGTATGATATGATAAACAATTTTGGTTTTTGTTTCTCTATTAGCTCTTTATCAACAAAATTTGATTATTGCTGCTCACTAGTAAAATACGATGTATAAGATGTGTAATTTAAATTATTATTTTTCGTTAAAGTTGTGTTAAATTTTAATTGTCAAATGCACTTAACAAATTGTTACTGCTTTAACAAATTTTTATGCTAATTTTCATTGGAAACCTTGTATTTAATTTTCTATTTTTAGGTATTTAAATTGAAAATAATATTTTTATTTTCATTTCACTTTTTAATTTTAACTACAAAATAATATGCACATTTTTAATAATAATAAAAAAAAAAAAAAGTAAAAAATAGTGTTGATTCAAGTATTTGGTTAAAATATAATGCAAGTAGTAATGTATGTTAGTTTTTCAAAATTTTTAAGAAAAGTATACAATAAAATTCTACCAAAAACTACTCTCAATGTTGATGAATATTTGGAGCAAACGTTTTACTTCAAAACATAAAGATGAACTCAACATATATCATTGAAAATTTATCATATTCATTATTTAAAATGCATAAAATGCATAAAAAAATTATTATTTGTCTATAAGTTTCAACATTAAAACTAAAAAATATGAACAGCGTCCATGGAATGCAAATGCACATCAACACAACCACAAGTGACGTCCTTTAAATTATACTACTTCACAGCAATTATTTTTCCCTTTAATATCGATAATAGTATTATTGACGTAGACAACACTCTGTATTCACCGACGTGCGTATTATGTTATTTATTCAGAATATATGCGTAAATTGTAAGCTACGATGGTTATTTCAGCAACGCATTGTAATGTTTTTTATTTAAACCTGAAAAAGCAATTGGAAATTGGAATTTTGAAATTTATATTCGAATAGAGTTTACTTTGCAGTCGCAAACCGTAATGCGCGTGTATATTATCCGTGTGCGTATATATACGTATGTACATTTTTTTTTGTGGCGGAAACACTCGATGAAATCATTGTACGTGAACTATTCAAGCGCAAAAGCTTCGGCTGTCTTACTTTTTATACGTCTCTCGCACTACCGCGGGCGTACTACGCGATTTACATTTGGCTGTAATAAAACATCCCCAAATCACTCGTTTTCGTTCACCATCTTTTATACACGTACAATATAAGTTTCGATTAATTTTTTTTTTTAGTCACGTACGCTATTTTTATATGTCCTAGCACTACCGATTTATTTTTTTTATACATTAAAGCACACAATCGTGCATCAGTTAGGCTATACAACTATATAATCCACAAATTAAACATTAAATACATAAGTGAAGTGTAATTGGAGTGTTTTGCCATGTTTGCTTATTTTGTGTTGTTCTTTAATGTTATAATAAATTTATTCACATTAAATTTTTTGGAATTTCTTAGTATAGTTACGACACTATTACAAACCCTTCGTTTTTAAGGTAAATTAATGTAAAATAAGCATTTTATCATAATTACTGTCGTCGATATTTTATAACTGACTGCTTATCACCGTTAGTCTTATGCTATTCCGCATACTCGATATTTTATGTCCATTGCGTATGATTAAATATTATAACTTATCTATTTTAGTGTATATATATTCAATAAAAATATGGTGTTAATTATAAAAAATATGTTTAACCTAAACTTCTAAAAGTACACATTTTAGGGATTTCTATTAAACATATCTGTGTCTGCATCGAAGACGAATATAAAACTCAGAAACCGATATAACCGAGAATGAAACATAACAAGATCATATTTTCAATTACTTAGATGTATTGTGTACTGTATACCATTAAAAAAGTGTTCTTTTGCGTTCTAAACTTCTGTTTATTCAAATGAGAACCATTCTTCTTTACATGTGAGTTGTTGTATATAATATATATACCTATTTAAATATTGATACATTCAAATCGAAAAACAAACGAGTTGTTTATTAGCTATCAAACTTTTTGCACCAAGGGTAATGTTTTTTGATAATGTTCCATTTCGGAAAATGCATCTATATTGTGGGATTCATATACCATTAGCTATTTTTTAAAGCATGTACAGTATAAATTCTTATAATTTATCGAGTACGATTGTGTATTAAAAATAGATTACTTTATCAACATTGGATTTTTTTAGCAATTTACATTCAAATAAAATAAATACTCTCCATAAGTCATTTTTTCTTTCGTCGCATTCATTTTAAAATTCCTTCTTTTTATTAACGTACTTAATAACATTTATTTTTTTTGTTTAAATATGTACCAAAAACGATGCTGTTAATCTGCAGTATACACTTAATTTACATGGATTGCTAATGTGGAACCATCTTCTCTTTTTGTTAACAACATAGATACTTATTATTTTGATGTTTTTAATTATTATTTATTTATGTTTATTTGTCGTTAATATTTGTAATTATATCAATTTAGCTAGCTTTATAGTGCTTATAAAAAAAATAATAATTTTTATAAAATACAAAATTTATGTAATATTTATTCTAATATCTTTAATTTATTATATTTGGATAACCTAAATAAATCATAAATATTAACAAGTAAGTATAATTGGCAAATGATTATAATTCCCATATCTTCTAGTTTTATTATTATATATATCTTTTAATAATTTAATAACTAGGACATTTTGATTTAGATGATAAATATTTAAAATATTTAACAATGTCTGTAAAAAAAGGGTGGATTTTAAAGAAAATAAATTTTTATTTCCATTGAACATTCTTTAAATTGTATAAAAAATCAAAGTATTTGAAAGTATGGTGTTGAATTCTGTTTGAACATTCTAAAACCAAGAACTTAAATAAACGCTTAATGAACGGCTTAAAAAAAGGGAGGTAAGTCATTCTGTATATATTGTGTTAGTGGGCGAGTAATGCGTACACTGTGTAGGTCGTAACTATAATGAATACAAACGATCGCTGAAATACGCGTGTTTGAGTCATTACGACAGAGACGAACGACGATTCCGCGAACAATTCATTTTGGCGTAACTACCACTACCAACGTCGCCGACGACCACTATAACAAGCCTATTAGGCTAGTCCCGCAAATAAAAGACCACCCGAAATATGTCTGCCTAATGCAGCAGAAAGATAGTTTATACAAGATAATAACGAAACGTTTTCTTTTGAACCTTCACAATGGAAAACAATTTTCGTGAATCGTCAAACTTGAGAGGACGACGTTGAGAATGATATTTGTGTTTTTGTACTTATTTCGTAAAAACGATTTTTGTCTAGTTTCTTCTTTTTTTTTTTTAATATCTTTTGCGCAACTAAACTCGATCCGGTAAAGACATTTTTTTTTATTACGTATATTTTTTCTATTCCGAATACGAAATTACGTGCAACACTATTTTGCCTTTAAATTTATATCTATATAAAAATCCACGATCCGAACAATCGCTATTCGCGTCATTAAACACAATACGGTCATCTGACTGCTGAAAATGTACGGCGCCGCGCGGCGTCATGTTTAAAAATTCATTACCGTAAAACTTCATACCGTTTTATTATACATTTAACAACTCTGTGCACTGCCACTGCGAGTAAAAGCATTTGTCGTCGTAAACATAATGTAAATAAATTCTGATCGATCCACACTATTTTGTCGCATTTAATCATTGAGTGGTATCATATTGTTATAATCTGGGTATAAAAACATAATGCACCGAAGTGAGTCACCGTCTACTACCAATAATATAATTAATATTATTAATAATTGTGTACCTACTTCCATCGTTATACGTAACACGGCTTGTCGTATAGGCAATATTGATACACGAACGTGTGCAACGTCTTACGCTTTTTATAAAGACGTTGGCTGGTAGGCTTAGATTAGGTCATTGAGAAGTATGGTTGTTGGGACGTATGGTTGGCTTACTATCCCATTAGACGATTTCTAAACATATTCACTAGATGCTTCCGAAAATTAACAAACGGTATTATTTTATTCACATCACCACGCATCCTTTTTTTAAATTATTTTAACATATTTAGAAAAAGAAAAACGTAAGTTTACAATGTTAAAAAGTGATTCTACTGTTGCGTAAAAAATTTCATGTATCAAAAATTTATTAGGTATTTAATTCATAAATGTATTAATTTTTTTTTTTTTTTTGAAGAAAATGTTTTTGGATTTTTAAAAATTGAAATATTTAAACATGTTTTTGGAATATCACACCGATAAATATCGTTACAATCTTTTAAATTTTTTTCTGATTGTTCATAAAATTTTTTTACAAAATGTATTTTTATATTTTTATGAAATAGATACAATATACGATAAAATGTTTTTTTCTTTTAAACGTATAAAATAAACATTTTGTAAAACCAACGATATTATTAATTAATGCGCGCTTATGTAATAAGTTACCAGTGATCCCACGTGCATTGGCTTAAAATGTTTCAATGGCAGATTAATATTTTTCAATTTTTATTTTTAAGAAATCTTATTGTCGAATGAGAATTTTCCTGCAAATTTTCATTTAAATAATTGAACTAAAAAACATCGTTTCACACGTTAAATTTAAGATGAAAGGTCTTTTGTGGAACTCGTGAAGTATATTTTTGGATGCACCCATTTGCTTATTTTTTGTAATCCAGTCTAAAGGATGTGCACATAATTTTTTTTCTTTGTTGATCTGTTTTGTTTTTTGTGCTCACCATTGATAACAGTCTTCGCTGTTGTCGTCATCGCCAACACTGTCGTCGTATGTGTATTCTTCGTGTTTCGCTGTCGTCGCCGGCAAGTCTGGACGATCGCCCAGTTGCCTGAGGATATGCGCTGCCACGTGGTCGTGTGTTGGCGAGTTGGCGAGTTGGTATTCAGCGCATTCACACAGGACATGTTTGGCCTCGGACGTCAAACGGTATACAGGTCTTCCTCCGTTGCTACCTATATAAGAAAGACACAAATGGTATGAGGACTTGTCATGTCAATATATTATAAATGCAATTTAATTTTATATAAGTATTACGAGTATTATATCACAATAAATAACGTAATTTACATGATTTCTGAGGGTAGCGAGTATGTACATAAAGATTAAGTATATTAAGTATAGAGTAGTGATTTCGCTGAAAATCTTATTATTTACCATCAAAATGTACTATTATAGTCGTTAAGAAAACGTCTCACGCGCATAATACAAAAAATAAATTTGTTCAACAACTCTCATTTAACTCGATTTGTTTTAATATTTAAGTACGTAAATTTATCCATCAAATTAAATCTCAAGCTTTAATTTCTAAGCGAGTTATGTAAAATATTATTATATAATAATGATCTTGGCTTATCGTTACAAAATTTAAAAATCGATATAAACAATTCAAAAAAAAACCACAGAAATTTTATTACCTATTTAATAGCAGGCAAATTGGTTTTTATACTAAACTAACTTTTAGTTTAACAAGAACTGCTGAATGTTTATTTGCTATGTTAAGCACATGTAAGATGGAAATAATAATAATTATGTATGATAAATCTTTTAATTTCAAAGCTTTTTAATTAAATGTCTTATTTAGTGATGTAGTTTTGTATCATTCATTACAGGTTTATGTCCTCATGTTATAATTGTGACAATAACTATAGGTACTAAGTAAATTATATACATATAATATATATATATATATATTACATTTCTGTTTATTAATTTGCTATATGTAAGCATTTTAATGGAATAAAATTTATACAGTTAATGTTCTAAAAATCAAATAGCTCATATTGTTACTTATTGAAATTATTAATTTTGTTTTAAAAATTTATCCCGGAATTTTAATTTATACATATTATACAGTCACGATTTGTAACCATATCTGGAAATTTTTAAAGATACATTGAATATTCAAAATTAAATTCGTTTCATAATCAACTATCCTTGAAATTTTTTTTCGTGGCATTAAGGCCTAAATTTATAGTATGTGCGCCAGAAACATCAAATTTGATTTTTAAATCTTTGAAATTAAAAAATAAAGTACAGTACCTATTTATATATATATATATATATATATATATATAACGTACACATTTAATAAAATATCCATACAAGGGGTTCCCTGTAGTTGATTCAATCAATTACTTTTTCTAGTCATTATTTTTATAATATTAACGATATTTTTCTTCTTTGGCATGGCTTATTAAACTCAAACTACATGACTTAACGTAAACATCATTAATATAATCCTCGGGACAGTTTTAAAATGGTCGATATATGGTTTTTGATCAACAAAAGTTGAGTTAAGTTTGACAGCTATGGTATATACTGAGGAAAACAAAATCAGATTGATTGGCGTAAAACGTAAACATATTTTAATATAATTCCGCTAATTGAAATTTACAATAATAATAATAAATATATAATATTATCAAGATTTAATTTATATTTCCTTAAGAGTTATTTTTAACTAACCATGCGTATTCATGATTCATTTATAACGAACTATAATAATTAGATGTATATTTGAAAATAAGATTGCCATAAATTTTAGAAAAGGATATAAATACTTTAATTTTCACCAACTCGTTGTTAACACACCGTTATTAAATTGAATTCATTAGAATATCCTATGTTTTAACTACCATATATATATAATTATTATTATTATTATTGTATATTGTATCGTTGATTATTATTTTCAGTGGTTAAAGTGTGTTTAGTAATATAAAATAATATTTCGGCTAATTGAATAATTTTGTAGCTGGAAGTTGTATATTTATTCATTTTTTGTAGCATACCTTCTAAATTATGTTCGGTTGATTACATTTTTATATTCAATTATATTAAACGAATTATATATTTTTACGTTATTTATACGCATAAATGATTATAAGCAGATTGCATATAATAAAATAAGATCTAAATAATACGGCTAGATAGAATTATTTTGTATTTTGTATTTTTTTTTTTTATTGGTACATAATATATTGAATAGGATTAAAGTTATTTGCATCTGTATATCCGACTATAACTGAGGTTTCTGGGTTTCTGCGTTTTGTTATCGTTCAAGCATGTGATTACTGTTCAGTTTCGTGTTATGAGAGGTTATATATAATATATATGTACTACTCATCCATCTCTACGAAGGATAATAGTATTGTTCTTCAGTACCTTTATAATTCCGGTTATTTTATCTAAATGTATTACTATTTGGACATCCACACTGTCTCCTAAGAATCATCCCTCAAATTTTTTTCCATTTTATTGTCGCTATTTAGAAAATCCAATAATACATTTAGGTATACATGTCTTCGTCTATATGCTCACATCAGCAGTGATGGGTTGATGACTGGATAATGTAATCACAAATGCGCTCATCTAAATCTCATTGAAAAAAATTCAATATCATAAAATACTGACTATATTATTGTATATATTACTTTCTATTAAATTTCCCATTTAGGATTGAGAAATCAAGGCAAGCAGGTTCAGACATTTACAAATGGATAAAATATACTACAACAATAATACATTCGTTTTATATGTGTGAATTGAACAAGTTCAACAAAAGAAAACAATTTATTAAATTATACATTATTTAAAAGATTTAAAAAAAATGTCAAATGCCTATAAATAGCATAAAAAAAAGCTATTTCATTTTAAAAATATTTTATGAAAATTCAAGTTATTACATTTATTCGTGTTAAAATAAAATAAATTATATCGAAATTTTATTTTGCGTTAAAATATCTGTTATTATTTATTTTATTTTTATTTAAAAAATATTGAAAAATTAAAGATTAAAGAATTCACATTGTTTAAAATGGTGAGATCAGACATACAAATTATTGTAAGACTAATAAACCATATCACTCAGAGCCTACAAAACTATATAGTTATATTTAAATGATTCAATTTGTTGGCAAGTATTAATGTATATTATATAAAGTTACGAATATATACCTGATTATACTTTTCAACGAACAATGCGGGTAAATATATTATAAATACCAGTATGACAAATTTAAAATATTTAAAATTTTTACTATGTATATTATTTTATTTTATCATAGAATAAAAGTACATATAAAATTTTTGAGATATAATAAATATATAGTTATATTTTCGAAGAAAATCGTATCTAACCATTTTTTTTTTGGAGGAAAATAGTCAGTGAAGGAAAACGGTATCTTATTTTTTGAGGAAAATGGACTCGTCTCATTTTTCGAGTTTTGAAAAAATTTGACAGTCGTCAGCCACTAAGTATAATAATACTATAATATTATAATGTAATATATATATATATGATGCTATAATTATTATAGACTGTGTTTTGTAATGTTATTTAGGCACACTGTACTTTTGTCATAAACAATTGTTCGGCTCTAAAACCACCTTCTTAGAATAAATTTTCGTTCACAGTAAATAGTTCACCTGCAAGGCGTTGTTAAATAAGTGTTCATATTACTCTTCATTTTTATTAACGTAGTAATTTAGCGAGAGTGTTCAAAACTATTCTTATTCTCGGCTAAAGTAAAACAAAGCGTCACAAAGTTTGTGTGAACTTTAGTACTTTTATCATTTTTTTTTTTGTACTCTAAGCACAATGACGAGTGAGAAAGTTATGAAATACGCACAGGAACATGAATACAAATGCTTAAAATAAAATAAATTATATTAGTGTATAAGATCATATTGTAGTATAATATTTTTATACTTATGATATAGGTAATAAAATGATTGATGTCGCGCGATAGACCGATAGGTTAGGTTTATATCACGTATTTTCATTGTATCCGTTTTCTATTATGATTTACAGAATAATTTATGTAAATAGTCGCTAGTGATATTGATTTAACGTCCAAAATAAGATGCGTTAAATAGTCGTGGCTAGACAGACACCTTTCCGGTACAGTTTCCAAGTCATCAAACGGAATACGTTAATAATATAATAGATATGAATACCATATTATATTATGACTGCATAATTTAGAGATGTGTCTTGGGAAATTATGAATCGAAAAAAATATATGCTTTGTATTATAGTTATATGTAATAGGTGAAACGAATATTTTTTATTTAGAAATTCTGTGCATCATACGTAATAAGTTATTATGATTATTATTATTAATAACATATGCACGTTTTAAAAAAAAAAATTATATTCTGATGGATTTTACTAAACTTTATTATGAGTTTGTAGTTCAAAACAAAATTATCAAAACTTCTTCGTTTTAAATGCTGCAATGCGTATATTATAAATACACGCCTTCCGAAAGAAATTCTAATGCAAATTAGTTTTACACGATACATATAGTATTTTTAATGTTTTTTTGCCATTCAAATAAATACGTTTCGATAGATGATTGTATCGTACTGCGTTAAACGAGACAATAAAATCAAATTTTGCATACAATATATCAATCCATTATAATCTATTTATTTATTTAACATACTTATTTATATAGTAAAATATATTATATATTTACCACTTCTAACTTCTTCAATGTTATGGTTATTCAAAAACTGATTCTTGTAATTTTTAAATATACTTATAGACTATATTTTTAATTTTTTTTTATTACTTAATAGTGTTTTGTGGAATTAAAATTTTCTGTTTTTCAAATGACAACTTACTGTAAGCTATTTAGTGTAATTTTACACTTTAACGAGTAACAATTAAAATTCAAATGAATTATTTTACTTTGTGTATCTACTAAAAATAATAGTTCCATTATAATGAGTATAACGAGTAGAGAATTTTAGAAGGCTTGGTACCTAATTTAAAAATTATAGTATATATATTAATCTGAAAAACTCATAATTTTTAAAAATAGTCGAAGTATTATAAATACTAGATCCAATATACTGAAACTACTTTATATTTTTTAAAACTATTATTCCTAGTATAAACATTTCAAAAACTGAGAATTTTATTTACCTGTTAAAATTTTAAATTAAAATATAGTTTACAGTAAAAAGAAGTGAAGGGGGATTCCTTTATTGTATATTAGGATAATGTGTATTAATTCATGAAACCGAAACTATAACACTATAGGCTATAATACTTAAAATTGACTTGTCCTAAAGTCATACATTTGTCACTATGATAATATAACTTGTCATAAAATTTAAATCAAGTTTTCAATTTTTGGTGGGATTGGATTTTTACAATGACTATATTTTTCCAAAATAGCTAATATATGTTATCTATTAATTTTTTTCACAACTTTTCAATCGTAAACTAAATCGTTCTCATGAAACATTTTTATTGCCATATCGTTTTAAATCATTCAATAAGTGTTTGTAATACTATTGGTAGTAGTGGGTAGGGGAGAGGGAAGTAGTATAGTTAAGTTATATTTAAGTAGCATGATTATATTTTGAACACATATATTTATACATTTTATACGTATTAAAGAGAAAAATCAAATAGAAAATACGTATTATTAAATCTCGATTTATAAGAAATAACTTAAGTAAGTATTATATGACGACATGGGATGAGAATTTAATTTAACTATGATTTGACTGTAAATGTATAATAAAAAAATAAAACCCAAACTGTAATATTTGTTATTATATTATATTATAATTATACATATTATATAATATATATATATATATAAATATATTATACAGTAATAAAATATATATTATACAACGTGTAATGTATATGTTATACAATCTCAACACTGCATTTTCGTTGTTACCGCCAATTTAACTCATTATGTTGGCGTTTTACTGGCAAATATAATAATATATTTACAATGCACAGTTTATACTTTGTATAATAACTATCACGAACGCCATTTTTAAGCTTTTTAAAAAAACAGACAAACATTGAAAAAAAATGCTATAAATAACGTCGTTTTCAGCTAACTGACGTAATTATTCACCGCACGGGACACATGCGAGATGGGTCTGTAATTTGATAATATCGTGCCACTATATTCGAATAAGTTATAATAATAATAATTATTATTAATAAATGCATGCCGTCTTTGTCTTAACTTTTACCGTGTGTTCGAAATTATGATTTCGTTTTCAATTTGACTTCAGTAAATACATAATATATATTACATATATACTATGAAAATAATTGAAAAACAAACACTAGTAGTGAGAAGAGAAGGAAGGAATTAAACAGACCGCACGTGATTTGTTTATATAAAACATGCATATTATTTAGTAATTAGGATATGATCGTAAGTGCATTTATTTTAGGTGTTCTAAAACGCGGTGTTTTATTGATTGCCTTCTATGTACATAATTTAATAAATGTTACAGATATCTTAAAAATGAAACTTTTATTTTGTATGCTTTTATAGTTAGAAGAGAGGTTTTTTTTTTACAGTTTTAGATAATTAATATTTTTATTTTTATTGTATATTTGTATAGTTTTGAGTTTTCAAGTTAAGGTAATTCAAAATATTATCTTAATATATATTTTTGTTTGATTTGACGCAATACTTAAAATTTAACATGTGTAAAAGAGTTGAACGTACAAGTAACATAGTTCATTATAACTTAAATTTTATATTTGTAAGAGTTGAGTATGAATAACACAGTCCTAAGAATCAAGATAATGTTTTTCAACGATAAAAAACTAATGTGGATAAGTTAATTCTAATTACTTTGATGGAATTGTTAAATTTCATATTAAAATATGAATTATTTATTTATTTATTTATTTTTTTTATATAGTAAAAATATAAGAAATTGAAAAATGTTTTTTTTTTTTTTAAAGAATTATATTAAGTATAGTCAATAGAAATGTTGTTGTTTTTAAAACTCCAATAACATTACTATAATATTAAATATACATCATACGGACCTATTTGCTGTTTTCGTGATTTAGGCGACAATTCTGCCCTTTGGTGATGACTTGTGTTGCACTGTTGTGGAGGTGGTGGAGTGTGTTGCACTGACCCTCCCCCAACTGCCGATGGAGATTTTTTCGATGACTTTTCTCGCCGATTTCCTGCAAAATAGTCGGGAAGAGAAAATTATTATTATTATATAATTTAAAATTTAATTATATTATCTATATGATTATCGCCACAACATACACACAAATAGTAATATAATTTATTATATATTATATCGGCGATCAACTTAACGTAAGCCATTTATTATTTAAAATAATAATGAAATTTTTGGAAATATTTTATTTTTACATAATACGTATTAAGTTGTTAAAGAACAATATATATTGTTTTATATTTATAACAAGTACTTATATAATTCTTACTATTTTTTTTTTAAATTTTTGTTGTTTTTTAATAGCAACGTGTATTTTTAATACCTTATTTTAGAGTAGAATATTTTTGTATTATTTATAAATATGAATAAATCAAATTTTATACGAGTAGCTTATGGTTTATACGTAAGTATTAAAAGTTTTGATGAGCGGAGTGTAGTGGTAAAGGGATACTCCGCAAAATGTTAGTCTACCCATTTGTTTGAGGTTTAAAGTAAATACTCATGGCAGTTATAACCAATAAACCACTTGTTTGAAATATGATTTTGATAGGTCGAATTCTCTGAATAATATTTTGTTTTGAAATATGAAATTAAAAATGTCCGTAGTCTTTCAAAAGAGTAAAAAGTTTAAAAAAAATAATGATATAAAATAAGTAAAACATTTAATTTTTTCTGGAAATTTTGTTTTATAAAGTATGAGAATGAAAGGAATATTTCAAAATCCTAAGTGTTTTCTGATTTTTTGATATAAAGAGTTATTGCATATAACAGTTGTACTTGTGCATACTTAATCCATGATCTAAAAAATCTAAATACAGATAGAGTAATTAAATTTAACCAGTTATATTAATGTAAGTTAATTTCTACAAATCATCATCTCAAAGAAAAAAGATCACTTAAAATAAAATACATTAATAATAATATAATTATTGTTTAAAATCACATAAGATTAATGAGAAAACTGTTGTAGCTTTAATGGATCAGTTGCAGTGTATGCGGTTATTCGGAAGAATGTGATTTATTGGTCAAATTCATACACATAGATCACTTATACTGCGTAAAGTTTTTATTTGATTTTATATCAATAAAATATATATTTATACATATGCATAATCGAATTTTGTTATGATTTTATTTTATTCTGAATACACCACTTATAAACATTATAAACATATAATATATAGCAGTGGCGTTATGCACGCCTCACGCTTATAACTAAATAAATAAACATTAAAAAACACGTATAATATGAATATTGTTTGTTTATTATTTTTTGCTGCTGTAGTACACTTGATTCAGACTTCTTGTAACAGTATTTCGTATTTGTAATCGATTTTTCAGTAAATCTACAATGATTATAATATTTTCATAGGCTAGTAAATGTTCAATACATCAATAATATTGTATCTATTATAGAAAAATAATGTTAATTTAGCGACGACTATAAAAAATGAAAAAAAATGTTTGTCATTATTCGGGAATCGAACCAAGAACATAAAATTACTTGTTGATAAAAATTGATAAAGTTGACAAAAAATAGATCAAACAATCATTATTTTTCTAAAAATTATAACTACTGAAGAAATATGGGTTTCTAACCCTCTTACTGCAGTTGGCTTCAGAGGGATTAGCCTTAAGTGAGCTTATTTAGTCAACCCATATAGACCACGCTAGTACAGTCTTTAAGTGATTGAGCTAATATTATAAATATTTAAATATTGTTTTGTTTGTTCTCTTGATAATGAATTAAAATATAAACGACTAGTTTTTAATATTTTCAATAAATTATTTATTTTCTTTCGTGATTGAAGAGGTTTTTTTTTGTTATAATTTTCTTTTTTCAAACTAGTAAATAATGATAAGTCAAACTTTTGATTGTGTTTTTTTATTATAATTTATTGATGTCTATATAATGTTAAATAAATATATATATTTTAAAAAGCGATTATCAGTTTGTTGTTCGTAGTAAAATGTTTTATTCAAAAATGTCATATTATGTAGAGTAATAATTGTAGCGTAATTATTGTACATAATGCTTATTAAAATTTAAAACACATGTCCTATACATTAAGTTTTATTGTTTTCATCAGGAAAAATGTGGTCAAAAACAGATTAAAAAAATTATTGAATCATCAATATGTGCAATGTTATGTAAAACTCATTTTCAACGTTTGAAAGGTTTAAGTAAAAACTTCTAAAGTTAAAGATATCTTCATTTGATGTAAAATATCATATTTACAAGTAGTTGTGAATTTTTTAAAAATAAAACAAGGTAAAATTATATTAATAAAATTTATGAGCGAATAATTCCCTTGTTCTAAATTTTTTTAATAAGCTCTCAGTACTTAATTTAATACACATGATCATTTAAATGTCAGGGTAAAAACATAAAAATATTTTTATCATTGTCATGTAAATGATATTTTGGTTTTGTCTCTAATAACACTATTGTTTACCTTCTTTTCATCACGTTCCCTATTGCATACATTTTTTTATCACCCAATGGCGATCCCTCTGTCATATTTATATTGCCCATTGTTTTTTTCACGTAATTCACAAAAATGCAACTAAAGTCAAACATTTCGCTTTGTTTTCCTATTTACTAGGGAAAAAGTTTTTGGAGAATTATATAAAATATGTTAATAATAAATCATATTTTTTTTTATTAAAAAATGTAATCAATTTTTGGTGGTATAAAATAATTTATCCTTATAATTTTATTTAAAAACGAAATTGTAGACAAATATTTATATATATATAATTTTTTTTTGTTAGATTATGATGAATATAGCAAATCTGAGAATTAGTCGTTTATATGATTTATTATTTTATTTTAGAATTATCTAAATCCGATACCATAATTTTTAGGCAGTGGGCTATTAAGTATTTTTAAAACACCTAATAGGCCGCATTTGTTATAAAAATACGTATTAAATGATTAAAATATAAATAAAGACAAGTTAGGCTGTACATTCAATATCTCCAATTTAGATAATATACTTAGATAGGTAGTTTATTATTTGAGACAATTTTCACATATTTATTATCCTAAATATCTGTTCGAAAATCGCTTTTGCAAACTAATTATTATCAGTATTTACTTAAAATCGAATACATTTTTTATTTGAATTTTTTCATAAACTTACAGTAGTGTCCATATATTTTTGTGAAATTATTAATTATGTTTAATATTGACCATATTATATATATATATATATATATATATATATATATATATATATTTCAATGTAAACAGTTCTATTTAGTTTATTTTCTATAATTTTCAATAAATCATTAATGGATTGTGATGAAATATCGTATAACACACATAATATAGTATAATTATTATTATAATATTTATTGCATAACAATACAATAAATTCATCAATAATTGGTACTTTAAAAATTAGCATTGTTATAATATTCGATTATTCAAACATTTATTTATTTATTACACATACATTTTTTTTATACGTGAATGTAATCATATCGTAATATAAATAATTTTAAATATGACTTATAATTTTAGAATATGGTTTGAAAAAAGTATTATATTACTTGAAGTACATAATATTATGTTAAAGATATTTTCGCTTTTTATAATAGCGCGTCTTATTTTCCACTGTAATACACATCAGTAGAATTAACAAAATATAAGATGCGTGTAGTGTAACGATTTATTGCATTGTGTATAGGTTAAAAACCAATGTTTTTGACTTAAATGCTTTCATGGAGATACACAGCGACAAGAGACCTAACGTCAGTCTATAGTAGATAAAACACCATTAATCATGTCTTTTTATTAAGCTAAGCGATTATGTACTCTGGAAGGTGTCTCCCGTGCAGTGCTGTGCGAACAAAGATACACTCACTGCTATTTTCCATCTCTGATAAAAATCCTATTAAACATTTGAAGAAAATTTAACGATATTAGATTAACGTCACGTACTTTTATTTTAACGAATTATTAAAATGTTTGTTTATAGATACCGATTGCACTTTGCGGGTGTCTCTTTGTTTTTTCTGTCAAATAACCATTAATCGTATTCCTATTATAATACGCATATGAGAACAAATATTATAAACCACATCTGGATTCAACACGCATAACCAATATTAATTATGAATTAGTAATTTTACTTTTAAAATATTGACATGAATAAATTAACTTCATAACAATAGGCATAGGCTATTCATAACATACATTTGAGAAACACACACACACACAAAGTTAAAAACATTTTTACTATGAATTTAATAAGACATCGACCAAAAATACTATGGATTTTAATCATGACTTCGGTTCTCTTGTGTGGGAATATAATTTTTCAAAAATATCAATATATTAAAATTATTAGCGTCTAACTACCTATTATACTTTCTTGATAAATGAATAAAGGTTTATGCCGTTTAGATAATGACCTAGAGGTTTGGAGGTTATAAAAAAATTATATAGTTTCAAGAAAAAAAATTGTTTCATTTACAATTTGTATAAACGTACATTATATTATACATACATATATACTCGTATATATATATATATTATATATTGACCGATGGCAAGAAAATAATATGCATAATACTATGCAACACAAAATTAACATAATATCATAATTATTTGCAGATTATGGTTTATTTCGTTTTTCGGCATTTTCGAGCTGCCGTTGTTATATACGATCAACCTGCTGTACAGTACAGACTATAGACGTATATAAATACTGATAATACAACATATATCGCATTTTAATACAGTTTAGATACTTAATGATATTATAATATGCAATACTGCATTCTACGAGTATGTATATTACCATCGTTTTATGTACCTATAGTACCTACTATATAATATTTTTATAAAAATATTATTTGAAATAATTTGTTTTTCAAAAGTTTGTATAAAATATACACAAACTGCAAATAACTAATTGCAATGAGTAATACCCTAGTTATTATTTTATCGAATTCACTGATAATTTTCAAATATCTATTTTTAAAGAC